TATGTAAACTTAAGAATAAAAAGGCTGTGGGTTTAGATTGTATCGCAAATGAAATGATGAAAACAGGTTATCAGGTTCTTATGCCCTGTATACAAAAAATGTTTAATACTATTTTGTCATCAGGAAAATACCCAAATCTCTGGAAAGTAGGATATATAAAACCTCTACACAAGAATGATAGTCCAAATGACCCCTCAAATTATAGAGGAATTTCCATTATGCCGTGCCTCTCGAAGAAGGTGATAAATCAGGAGCAAATTGGCTTTCAACCAAAAGCCAGAACTTCAGATCACATGTTTGTGTTAAGAACACTGGTAGAGAAATATCTGAACAATGGTATGAAAATACATGCATGTTTTGTTGATTATTCTAAAGCTTTTGACAGTGTGATGCATTCTGTACTTTTTTATAAACTGAATGAGTGTGGCATTTCGGGGCAATTTTATACAATTATCAAGAGCATGTATCATAAGAATAAAATTCATGTTCGTCTGGGAAACTCACTCAGTCATCATTTTACTCCAGAAATCGGTTTGAGACAAGGCGATAACCTGAGTCCAAACCTGTTTAAATTGGTTATCAATGATTTAACATCCTGCTTTGGTAATGAAGATGATCCAGTTATGCTTGGTGCCATTCCCCTTAATTGCTTACTATATGCAGATGATGTAGTTCTTTTGTCTAGCAGTGAGAAAGGTCTACAAAGTTGTCTTAATAAACTATATTTATTCAGTGAAAGTGTTGGATTGTCTGTAAACCTAAAGAAGACTAATATATTGACATTTAGCAAAAGTGGAAGGCTATCCAGTTTTAAGTATATATATAATAATGTAGAGGTAAATCATGTTTCGAAATATAAATATCTTGGAATACTATTTTCATCTTCGGATAGTTTTACTGAGTGCAAAAAAGATTTGTATAAAAGGGCATTAAAAGCAAATTTTAAATTAGGCAAAGCTTTCAGTAGTTTGAATAGTAATGTTCATACCTCATTGCATTTGTTTGACCATACTGTTAAACCTGTACTACTTTATGCTAGTGAAATCTGGGGTACTTTGAATACAACAACCAGTAGAGTTAATAAAGAGGGTTTTTGTCTATTTCAATGCTTTAATGACATGCCATGTGAAAAATTACATACAAAATTCCTAAAACATGTGTTAGGGGTTCACAAAAAAGCATGCAATGATGCTGTTTTAGGTGAATTAGGGAGATTTCCTTTATATTTTGATTGCATAATCACTTGTATTAAGTATTATACAAGGTTAACAAAATCTCCAATTAATGAACTTTTAAAAAATGCTGATGTTGAAAGTGAAAATTTGTACAATTGTAAAAAAAACAGTTGGTTATCCAATGTATTCTTCATACTAAAATATTTTAAAATACCTGAAAGTCAATATAGTGATACGAATCTGTATGTTGTTGTTCGAAAACAACTGTTGAGCACTTTTAAAATTCGATTTATGGATAAATTAAATCAAAGGGCTGCAGCTCTATGGTATTTTCTGATTTTTGCAATCTAGATCATACTGACTATCTGTATGTACTTTCCTGTATAAGTTTATTTTTATATACTATAATTCATCTTACGCAGCGACAGCGTTTTGATTTTCTTCTATAACAGTTTTAGATTGATACATATGGAATTTTGCATGAAAAAAAAATAGAATTGCCTCGACTAGGATTTGAACCATAGGCCTCTCACACCCTCAACGAGACCGCTTACCTCTTCACCACGGCGAAGTGATACATATGTACCTTGAATAAAAACGAATACATTATGTAATTCTAAATTGAGAATTTCCATTTCGTGTTTGTAATCCTTATTAAAGGTATTTTGTTCACGATAAACCTGTTGTTTAACACTGATGAAAATAATTTAGCGAAAATCTTCTCGCCAAAACAGACCGACATGTATATATTCCATTACTCGACAGTCAGATTTATTTGTGTACTACGCTCTGGAGTATTCGGTAATCGACATAGCTAAAAATAGCATTTTCATTGCTTAAAATGATATTCATGATAATCCGAAGCTTTACGGAAATAGCCAAACATTTTTCATTGGGTAAAAAAGATATTCATCCGCGAAATTTGTGATTGTAACCTCATATTTCTGTTGACTAATCTAAACTTTTAATGCACTGTAATTCGTTAAATGCCTTCATTAAAAATTATTCATTCTTTTAAATTGCTGGTTTTTAAGCAGTTTTGAGTGAGAACTACTTTGCGTTGTTAGGACTGTGAGGAAATTTTGTGTTAGACCGTGGATTTTAGCTATGTATTTACTGATCTTACGATCAGAAAATACAAAAATGCTGTTGATAATGATGGAAAACTACGTACTTATGCACTGTTTAAAACAAATTTTTGTAGGGAACCTTATTTAGCAGTAATCAAAGATAAAAATATTAGAGCTTGTTTTACAAAGTTAAGGATAAGTTCTCACAAATTAAAAATAGAGATTGGGGGATATAAAAAAATCAAGCCTGATAAAAGATTTTGCGAAGTTTGCAACTCAAATGAAGTTGAAGACGAGCTACATTTTGTTACTGCTTGCAATGCTTTTACTAGTCAACGCAGCATTTTATATAGTGAACAAAAAGATAAGAATTTAAACTTTGAAAAAATGTCTGAAATAAGCAAATTCATTTGGTTAATGAGCAACGAAGATGAAAAAATCATAAAACAATTTGTAGATTTTATTTTTACTTGTTTTAAACTCAGAAATGGTAATGAGAAAAAATAATTTAATTTAACCTGGTATTATACGTTTTATATATATATATATGTGTGTTATATGTGTATATATATTTTTATTTATTTTTTTTTTAGAGAGAGAGGCATGTGTATTGTACAGTTTTGTTACAAAACAGGTATACGCTATCTGTTTGTGTAAATTAAATGTTATTCGAAGAATAAAAACAAAATGTTATTTTCAATTCATTTATATATGTAGTTATGATGTTTAATTATAGTTCGCAAAACCCTGTCATTTGCTGTGTTTGTTTGTTTTGTTTTTGTTTTTTTTTCTTTTAAGTTTATTGTTGTTACTATAATACGAATCAAGTTTTAGTTTCTTTAATGTCTTTATTTGATCTTTGATCTCATTATTATTATTGTGATTCACATATCATTTAACATGACCCTTGATTGGAAATAAAAGTTATTCTATTCATTCTATTCTATTCTATATTTTGCTGATATTGCGCCATATCGCGATAGCTCAGTTGGTTAGACCACTGACTGTCACTCCTGAGGTTCCGGTTCGATCCTGGGTAACACCCTTGGGATTTTTCAGAAACACTTTCAGTGTTTCCCACCTTACTAGAGGTGTACTGGTAAGAAATGAAGGTAATCCTCGCATGTATCAGTGCTATGCACTGGGCATGTAAAAGAACCAAGGAATTTATTCAATAAGAGCTAGGGACTAGTTCCCGGGTTCCCTTGTATCTTATAGCTGTCTCTAGAGTCTGCTGAGGTAACGGTTTTCCTTGACCGCCCCGTCCAAAGAAAATCAAATCATCATCATATTTCATTAATTAAAATTGGCAATTGCCCGTTTGATATTTACATATCAGCTAAAACAACAACATTTTTTCTGAATGACTTAATATAATTTTGACGTTGATATGAGGAATAGAGAAAACAAGAGCCCGGTTTGAGCCGGGTGATGCTCCCCGAATAGGTTTTGGACACAGGAAAGTACACCTCTTGTAGTTTCAGAGTTATGTCCCTGGAAAAAGTTCAAAGTGCAATAATTCCAAAATTAGGAAAGGCAGAGTTACTGTTCTTTGTACTGCACTTCTAATCACTGTTATCTATCAACTTACAAAGTTTCTTGTTGATATCTCTTATGGTTTCCGAGTTATGTTCCTGACAACTTCAAAAAGTAAAAATAAACAAATGACAATAACTCCAGAATAAGGCAAGGCAGAGTTATGATTCTCGTGCACTGCACATTTACCCATTGAGATACATCTACCTACAAAGTTTCATGTTGATATCTCTTATAGTTTTACAGCCATGTCCAGTACAAGATTTTTCTAAAAGGGGAGATAATTCAAAAATGAGGCTTAACAGAGTTATGGTTTTTTTTGCACTGCACTTCTACTGAATGAGATCTATCTACCTACAATGTTTCATCTTGATATCTCTTATTAATTTAGAGTTATGTTCCGGACAAAGTTCAAAGTGTTAAAATCAACAAAGGGCAATAACTCCAAATTAGGACAAAAAGAGTTATTGTTCTTATGCACTGCACATCTACCCATTGAGATCTATTCACCTACAAAGTTTCATGTTGATATCTCTTATAGTTTTAGAGTTATGCCCAGGACAAGATGTTTATATAAGGGGAGATAATTCAAAAATAAGGCTTAACAGAGTTATGGTTCTTTTGCACTGCACTTCTAGTCAATGAGATCTATCTACCTACAATGTTTCATCTTGATATCTCTTATAGTTTTAGAGTTATGTTCCGGACAAAGTTCAAAGTGTTGAAATTAACAAAGGGCAATAACTCCAAAATTAGGACAAAAAGAGTTATTGTTCTTATGCACTGCACATCTACCTATTGAGATCTATTCACCTACAAAGTTTCATAATGATATCTCTTATAGTTTTAGAGTTATGCCTCGGACAAGATTTTTCTATAAGGGCAGATAATTCAAAAACTGGGCAAAATAGAGTTATGGTTCTTTGACACTGCACTCCCCTTCAATGCCCTCTACCACTGTATGAAGTTTAAACAAATTATCTCCAAGGGTTTTCAAGTTATACTCCAGACAAGATAACGGACGGACAGACGGACAGACGGACGGACGTTCCTACGAATGGTCATTTATTGGGTACTTCTTTTGTTTAAAGGTACCCAACAAGAGAACATAAGTACCCAACAATACTGACAGAATGAATAGAATTACCCAACAAGTGTCCTCTCGTGTGTTGGAGGTACCCAACAAGTATCCTCTTGTTTGCCCGGACAGACAGACGGACAGACAGACAGACGGACAAGGGGCCGACTATATGCTCCCCCGAAATTTTTAAGAATCCTTAAAGAATGTCCAAAACGGCAAAAATGAAAATGTTACAGACTTGGTTTGATTGCGCCTGTTCATGGACGGTACTGTCAAGTGCAAACTACGTCTACGCCTCTGAGCACCGGCTGAAGCAGAATTTAACAATAAAACATGAACTGGTAAAATTTTGAATTAAGAAACATTCGCAGATGTGTTTATACGGCGGTTATCATGGGACCTCTAATGTGACACTTCCATGTCATTCCATAAAAAAGCGGCGTATGGTCCCCAAATAACAGAAAGCGTGTGCCATTAACGAGAAAATTTTGAACGGAACTAAACAAAATGGAATTTTGAAAGGATATCAGAGGTAATGAAGCATGCATATCACAGATAAGACGTCAAAAGACAAACATAAAAAGGAGGCCACATATCCTAGGGGTCATTCAACATAATTCAAGTGGGAATTTTTTAACCACCCAACTAGAAAATGTCAAAATGTCGACACCAAAAATATCACAAACACAACAATTATGTCGTGCTGAACGATCTTTAAGGATCGGAAATATAACATCTCTTCAAATCTGAAACGCATAACTGCTATTGGACGGACGATCGACTTTATGAAATCACATAATCAAGACGATGATAGTCTTATTCACTTTTTTGCAACCTCTGCCTGAAGTGCTTGCGTATGTTTTCGAATGTAAAATATATTTCTGGATTGTTTTGCTCTGAACATATTTTACCATTACTCTCTGAAAGTATTCCAGATATCAAACATAATTTTGCTTGTTCTTCTTTAAGGAATTTGTTTACAACTGACCTTGCAATTGTCTTGCCTCCTTTAAATGAATGTGAAGCTAAATTTCCCAAGCCATCTAAAAGCTCTTTGTATCCAGACGCTTGTAGTTGTTTGAAATCATTAGTCTGAAAGTACTGAAAATTCTTCTGCGTTGTTGATAAAATCATCTCAATAATTTTTCCATACACTTGACACTCTGACAGTACTTTAAAACAGTTATCGTGCCATAAGCAAACAAGGTGCATCAAAATAAGTGGGACAGACGCCAGTTCATCGAGGTTGTAGGCACTTATCTCGCTTTGAAACGCTTCTTGCTGATTCTTCAATTCTTCTTCTGTGACGGTTTCATTTTTTTTTTCAGCTATTCCTTTCAAAGCATTTATCTGTAATTGTTTCTTTGATTTGTTTCCAAGACGATTAATTTCTATTTCTTTGTTGATTTGACTGTCGTTAATGTTTACGAGCTTGCGTTGTCGTGCGATTGTCACCACTATAATATTTTCACTTGCGTATCGGTGCGGAATTCCCTGAAATGACTTTGTACACTTTTGAGGATGTTCCCATCTATCTGACTCATCTAATATAATCAGGCATCGCTTTTTTTTCAAGACTTGTTTTAAAAAACTTTTACCGTCTGACGAGTTACATGGCAGATTTTGAATGATTTGATCGTAAATCATGTCTTCAGTGTCGCATTTACTTGATGAATCTGTCAAATTTAGAAGAAACACAAAGTCAATGTCGCGTAAAGCATTTAAATCCTCCTCTTGGAAATTATCATTGTGGTCGGAACCTTGACCATGCGACTGACACCACAATCTCGTTAGGTATTTTGCAAATGTTGTGTTTCCTGCTCCAACAATACTGCATAGAAATATGTCCAATGAAACTTTACCTTCGCTTGTAAAGAGGTCTTTCAAAGACGTTTCCAACTTTCCTGTCCTATGATCGGATAATTCTTGCTTGACATACAGGTCTTCAAATTTTGTATCGACGGAATCATCAGTCATTGATAGTTGGAGAGAAAGTTTGTTTTTGATATACCATTGTATGAGCTCCTCTAAAATGGAAATTTTGAAAAGTAATCATACTTCATTTTGAGTTTAGCTGACACATAAATAAGAGTTATATTTGTAATTAACCAATATCTAAAACAAACATATTTATTAACGTAAAAAATTCGAAAATTCGGGAAAATGTAATTTTGTTCTGTTCACAAAGGGCCTAATTTTATTTATAATCCATGCTAGAGTTAAGGGTTTTTGAAAGTAACTTGAATTGTAACTTAAAGAAAACATGAGTCAAGTTTCAAGTGAATTCAGTCAGTAGATATGTGGAAGGTATATGTTGCAAGCAAAACTTAACAAAAAATTGTCTAAAGTACATAAGAGCCGTTACTCCGACTTAATCCATGTCAGACATATGGCTCTTGATTGGTGACCTCTAATTTTAATCCCGAAAAAATGCTTCAAGTTACAAATGAATACCTTCGAAACAAGTTTTGAAGATTGATGTCACATGCAAAACTTTAACAAAGAAACTCAAAAGGACCATAATTCACCAGTAAAAAGTATTGGCCTTAAATATTGACCTAATATTATATCCTCCAATAAGTGTGTGAAATGACAAGCAAATATTCAAAGCTGTTGATGAGCTATGAGCTATGATGATTCATGTAAAACTTTAACCCAAGTGAACGCCAGGGTGAGTAAAATAGCCATAATATTTTTAAAAAGTGGAAGTAGTAAATTGAGTTGTCATTATTAAGTACATGAAAATGAAAGGATCACATCAATATACTATACGCAAGCAAGAGACAAGATATAGGATATTTGAGTATTGGTGTTAGAACCTTTCAAATGTACGATATAGTCATTACCGTGAAAATTATTTTTTTGACGACCGTATTTAAGATAAAAAGATGTTAACTTCAGTTCTTCACTGGTATAGATTTTCAACGACATATTTACCTTCAAATTTTGGTGGAATAGGGGCTGTTTGGGTTTCGTCTCCAGCTCTTGCAATGGGTGCCTATAGATATTAAGAAACAGCGTCTTACGAAATATACGAATGCCTTATAACATAATTATTAAGAGATAAATGATGCCTTAATAAGTAAATGCATCTTTTATGAGAATATTATAATTTGCAGAAATAAATGTCCAATTACATTTTGTATTGTGATGATACTATAGATTAACACAAAAAGAGCCGTTAGAACTTGTAAGAATATTTTTTTCCCACCGCGATTATCTATGTTAAAGCTAACGAAGTGATCTATATAAATCGACCCTTTGACAGTAGTTTGAAATAGTTCCAACAATAATTGGGTATTTGATAATTTTTATTTCGTTTTTTTTTTTTTTTTTTGGTAGTAAGTCAGATTAAAGCAAAAATAACGAGTCATCAGAGCTTGTGAGTGAGAGGGTAAGTATGTATTTTTCTACCTGAATAATCTATGTTTAATCTAACGAAGAGATCTAAAGACCTTTTGACCCTTGTATTAAGTCAGTGTGCAAAAACATCACGTGCAATTTGGTCAACTTTTCACGTCAGAATACAATTTTAATCTCTTTAGAAATAGGTAAATATGTGATCGTTTACCCAATTTAACAAAGTTGCCGCGCTCGTCGCTACAGTGACTGCAGGTAACACATAAGTATGAAAAGTTTACTTTTTTCTGTCGGACCATATAGCACAATTCCCGAAAGTATCAGTGTTGAAAAATTTATCACGATAGGTGTACATATGTAAAAAATGAAACCTTTCCGGATACTTTTCTAACGGCCCTCGTAATTTCCGATAACATTAAAAATCCTGTATGTTGGTTTAGTTTAAAAATATTTATTTAAGCTCGATTGCGAAACAAGTTCTTGCAACTTATATTAATCACTTTCGAGTCCGCTTCCTGGAACCAACCAGTACTGGTGTCAAATGAAGAAACATGGTCGTAACCCGAGTAGGGCTCGAACCCATGATCTCTGGGTTGAGAGGCAGACACCTTAGCCACTAGGCCACCGCTCCCCTCATATCCTGTATGTTGTTATTAAGGTTGCATACCACACTTAAATGAAATTATATTTATGTATATAATTATGCTTATAAAACAATTTTAAAACATCGAAGAATTTGTAAAATATTACTGCATATATTTGTACATATTATATGTTATCATTAAAATATATGCATTCATTTCTTATTGAAAAATTTTGACATAGTCTTTATAGAAAATAATTTTTTTATTACCTCCCTTTATTTACATGAAATGATATCTTTATAAATAATGCTTTTTGGAACTTACAAAATTGATAAATCTTAATTTGAGCATCATATTTATGATATAAAACCATAAAAAAAATGTGTTACAGGATCTTTAAGGCATTTGATAAATACACATAAATCTATAATAATCTATAACAAGCAAACAAACAAAGAAACAAACGAACAATCAAACAATGCACGAAAGCAAATCTATAATATAACAAAAAAAAAAGAAACAAACAAACAAAAAACAGACAAACGAATAAACAAATACACGAAAGCAAATCAAAACATTAGACACATTTAATTTTAAACTGAATGTAAAATAAAATTTCTTTTTAACATATATGAGCCGTACCATGACAAAACCAACGTAATGCATTTGCGACAAGCATGTATCCAGACCAGACTGCGCATCCGCGCAGTCTGATCAGGGTCAAAGCTGTTCGCTATCAGTTTTACTACTTGTACTAGAGTTGGTAAGCGAATAGCATGGATCCTGATCAGACTGCGCGGTTGCGCAGGCTGGTCTGGATCCATGCTGGTCGCAAACGCATTATGTTGGTTTTGTCGTGACGCGGCTCACATGTAAATGCAAACCAGGTAGGGCTTAAGATCTGTGCAACACCCGTCTTAACTAACAAGATTACGATGCAATATAAAAACAATTATCTCTACACTATGGGTATTCAAAGTGTTTAACTGCAAAACAATTATGTGATTAAGTAAAAAGCAAACGAAGAAGGAAAAATTGGGTTAAATATCGGCATCTTAAAGGTTTGATTTCTCATATTTAAAGAGTTATCAAGAAAAGTGTCATATATTCAAACTAAAGTCAGATTATCCTTATTCCTAAGAATTTTAAAAAAATATTACATTAATAATTTAATATTTAATGGGTTTTATTTTCCCCTGTCCTTTCCGTTTTTGATATGTTAGATATTACAAGATAAAAAAATGAATTAGAACAAAATTAGTTTAAAATACTTACATAATTATTATCATTATTATTGTCAATATTATCGTGGCCATCATTTTCATCACCATTTAAAAGATCTTCTTGTTTTCTTTTTTCCTCATCTAATTTTACTCTTTCATATTGCTCATGGGCTTTTCTTAAATAATCGTTACTAATGGTTAGAGTATCGATTTTCAGCTGTAATTATAAATACACTTAAAATGTACAATACCAATAAATAATTGTATCTACAGTGCTTATTTTTACAAATATTTGTGCAATGTTTATCATCACTGATTTGATAAAAAATATTATACTTTATTTTTTTGCTTACAGAGCAATGCAAAATGGATTAACATTTTATTACAGCCCGAGACATTTTATTATGTTTATGTACAATACTTATGTTCGGTAAATAACACAGGCGCTCTATGTAAAAAAACACTTTTGAGAATCGACCATATCTGAAAGAAAACATGTTTATTTTACCATGAGAACATTTTGATTTGTTCAAAAGTTCAATTAAAGTATTTTACTAAATTTATGCCTTTTTACGTAAATGACACTAATTAACGATTATACGAAATACAATGTGTTCTAGTCATACGATGAAATCTTTAGTGTATTCAAATGATCACCTGTTTAAGATGCTCAGAAGCCTGCTGCGCATGCGTGTCTTGTGCTAAATATTTGCTGTCAGAGAGTAGTTTCTGTAATATTATGAGTAATTCCTGAAGATATGAATCCTCTACTTCAAGATTTGAATGTCGCAATTTATTGACAGCTTCTCTTGCCTGGTCAAAATAGAATACAAGTTCTTATTATCTTTTACCTTAAACCTTGAGTTAATTATGAAATATTTTCTTAAGTGAACCACTGTAACGTTATAGAAAAATTATTACTTAGAACTTTATGTACATTAAATTAATTACAAACACAATAAGAGCTGTATTTGATTGTAAGTTGAGCTAAATTAAAATAGCTAGGGGCGTAAGTCTGTTTGCATATAAAACTGCCGTCTGCGAAGCACCACTAACAAGCATTTACTGGAGTATCTATCTTTAAGTAGTCTAACAAACTAGTTACCCTCTTTAATACAAGTAATATATTTCAAATGATTCACTGATAAAATGATGATATTGGCAAATTTTTATGATAAAATATTAGTTTGTCTGAAATATAAAAATGACCGCCTCATTCTTTTCACAAATTGAACGTTATGGATATTAACATAAATTTCCTTGGGCCAAGTGAATCAATTATCGTTCATGCGAAGTAAATTATAAAATTATACCTTTCATTTTGCTTTATTTTTCAGAAACAATTTATGTCGATTTTAATGATAAACATCTAAGTGTATCATATATACCATATAATACTGTAAAATTTCATTGAAATATGTAAATGTCGTGTTTGGTAAGTAATGACCTTACGTAAGTCTTGATAGCAGAAGTAGTTTATAAATATTGTTTACCGCTTTAAACACACTAGTATCGTCTTGAAGGCTTTCGTCAATCTTGTCCTGGAACCCTTTGTAATTGAGGATAACGCTGATTATACCATTGAAGTCTGTGTCTGCTGCAGATGCTTTATCTTTATACCCATCTGGGGGCATGAAGCATTTCGCCACTTCCCAGTAATTACTGCACCACTGGGTTGCATCTGTGTTTTTGAATGACGGACATTCATACCAATGAGCTGTCTTTATTTCACATTTGAAGTGATGGCAAATCCTATTCGGACAGGTCGATATGAACTGTAATGAAGCGTTTCTGTGATAATTGCATTGTCCTTTCTTGATAACACAAATACCTTTTGTACGACACTTTACATGATTTTCTGTAGAGCATTCTGAACACAAAGTCCGATGTGATAGTCCATTTTTTGAACATATATCATCTAAGCATTTCAATTGAAATTGTTGAATTTCATCACAAACAAATGGTTCAAGTCCTTCTTTAGTGAACGACACAGCTAAATGTGCTTTAAGCCAGTTACTGCATGTATTGTATTTCTTTTCTAACAGTTTATCGCTTAATGAATCCATGGAATTTCCTTCTCAAAGAATTATAAATATTGTCGTGTCTTGAAGGTCCTAAGCTTAATCTGAAAAACATGTAAAATGCAAAACATTATAATAATTTTTTCCTTTATAGGAAGATTGTTTTAACAAATAAATAAAGGGGTTATTCATTATACATCTATAACCCCAGAATAGATATTCAAGAAGTGATTTCCAAGTAAAAAATGTGCACTATGCCAGACTCACCTCTGCTTTTTATATATTGATTGACGGCACTGTTAAATGAAAATAACTACCTAAACGCCATTTATTTTGTTGTGATAGATGTGTTCTAGCTGGTGTCAAATGAGGCTAAACAGTAAGTAAGTTAGATATTATTTAGTTAACTCTCAACAATTCAGAACTCACGGCCAGTTAAAATGACACCTTTCCCGATACTGAAATTGTAAATTAATTTTTCTAACATACAGAGCTATGTTTCATGGTTAAAACAATTTTTGTTAATACTATTACACGTGTTGACATTAGAAAAAGATGGTTGGTTTCAACAAAACGTTGATATTGCAGGTTTCTTTCTTTTTTATCTTGTTTAAAGGTTAAACTGCAGTCCAATATCTCTTGTTTCTTTTTTGGTATTAAATATTCTTAAGCAGCAGTGTGTCACTTTTGTTCGCCATTTAATAGAAATGCACATGTTTTTTCCACATGTTATAGCACTTATAAAACTATGTAGTACCGACAGTAAAAGTTAAATTTGTTTGTCTTTATTAAGATACACAAACAATAGAAATGAGCATTTTATTAGGAGGAAAATGTTATAAGAAAATAATTGTCCGTAACAACTATGTGCGCCACCGTAAACGAAAAAAGTCGTTTTGATTACAGGAGGTAGAAAATAGAACAAATAATGGAACTTTTCTAAACAGTTGTATTGATTGCAATGAATAATAAAAACTGGTCTTCGTGTTTCACTCATTATGAATAACAGAAATATAAATGATAGGGAAATGACAGTTCTGCCCCACTATATACTTTATATAAATACCGCACACGTGCGGTATGATCAGTGAGGCGTGAAATCTATTTTTAAACATTGGCTTTTTTACTGAATCATTTTTAGAATTGGACTTTCCATAATTTGTTACTAAAATTAGCTCCTTTTTAAAGCGAATATTATGGAATTCTAATGCATGACAGTTCTGCAGCACTATATACCTTATATAAATACCGCACACGTGCGGTATGATCAGTGAGGCATGAAATCTATTTTTAAACATTGGATTTTTAAAGCGAATATTATGGAATTTCAATATATAATTATAACTGTGATATTTTTATCAGAATAAGTGCCATCTTTAGAGTAACACGTCTGAGCATGTCAGTTTTAAATGATGCTTTTACATACACATAAATTACATGGCGTTATATTTCTTTGTGAAGCAGACGACAAAATACCTGTAGTCAAAATAGCTTATGTCTAATATAGCGTGGAGCGGCACGCGCCTTGTAAAACTACCCGATCTAATATAAAGAGGGTGTAATACTATCGTCTGTCATATAATGACAATTAACCGTCTGTTCAGCGGTAGATCGCCTAACGTTGTGCAACAGTATAACTGGGAAACCGAATATATTTTTTAGGGAAACCAAAACCTATGACTGCTTTAAACCAGTGTTATCTAGATTTAATTATAAGTTCTGCTCAAACAAAACTGATTCAATTGAGTCTGTATTGTGCAGACGACAAATAAAATACTTTAAACGTTACAGTACCTTTACAGCAATATCGAAGGTAAAGTGACCTTTAACTATTCTGTCTGTTTCACATGAATTATCAACAATCAAGGTTAAATTTGTTTGCACTATTAGCAGTTTAAAGGTTTAAAGCGTGTATATCAACGATTTATGTAGTATAAAATGAACTTTTTAAATAAAAACTGAAGTCTCTAAAATATTGTTAGAAACTACCACCTCGGCTGTATTTAAGAGAGGTAATTTCTATCACAATGATATTGACTGCCGACAATAGTAAATATTTATTAATATAAATTCAAAGAAGAGAAGGTGGTTTTTGATTAAAAGTTTGTAAGATTTTATAGCATGAAACTGCCGGTCATAGTATTACGTTTTTATTACGTCGGACAAAGATGACCGAATATGAATCACCGGCCATATCTGATGGAAAGGGTTTAACAACTGATGACTAGCTATCAACCACCGATTAATCAGCGTTACGCCCGATTAAGCTCCGATTTACAAACGATAAAAACCGATTTATTTCAGCATTTCTATAACCGATCCAACCCCGTTTGAGTTTGCTTTCTGTCACCGATGGCCGTTTACACAGAAATCCAGAAATAAAATCACGCATGACAACCGATCATAACAGCGAGTAAATTAAAAATTATATGACCGATTGGGGACCGACCGTCAGTGTAACTGGCCCCTTAAAGGGCTGATTTTTGCGACAGGCGTGAACGCTGGAAAACTTAATGTCAGCACGGAGCTGGCAGGACTGCCCTAAATAATACAGCAGAGACAACAACATTAGATCCCTCGCCAAATAAAATATGGGATGTTTTACAATATTTTAAAGACTCTCAGAATTCAATTGAAGACATTCTAATCAACAGGCTGGAACGACTGAAAGGTATGAAATGGTTCATGACGTTATTTGTTAAATTTGTGAAATACAATCAAAACAATGAAGCCGTTTATGCTGAGCCTGTATTTAGATCCTCCAGCTTTGGATGTACAAATGCTTCTCAAATTGAGGATCAAATCGCCGGGGCTTTCCAAGATTTACATAATGGTTACCAAAACTTTGAAAGGGATGGTAGTGGGTGGTCTATTGACGTAATTATTTAACTCGAGGTCAATACAGCAGAGTATGCACCCTTAGAGGGAAGTAAGAAAGTACAAGATAAAAAAGCAGTACTCAATATAAGAAATCACGATCAGAAATGCTTCATCTGGTCAATTCTCGCAGCAGTACATCCTTTCACAAACACAGAAAGTCATAATCCAGATCGTGTTAGCCACTATAAGCAGTTTGAACACGAATTAAATATAAATGGTCTCTACTATCCTTTACCTATTTTTCAAATTTCAAGGTTTGAAAAGCAAAATAACATTTCAATTAATGTGTTTGGTTTAGATCACGACGAAATATACCCCCTTCAGATAACTGATCAAAGAAACATGCCCAAGCACGTTAATCTCCTACTCTTTTCAAGAGGAGATGTTAGATATTATTGTTTGATTAGAAATATGAGTCGTCTGTTAGGAGACAGAACATTGCATTATGGGCAAACATATTACTGCAATTGCTGTCTCCACGGATTTACTACCCCTGACTTACTTAATGATCATGTATCATACTGTTCTCCACATGGAGCACAAAGAGTAAGTTTCCCAAAGTCAGAAGACAAACAATGGGTTCAGTTTACCAGTATTCATAAGCAGTTGAAAGTACCCTTTGTTATCTACGCTGATTTTGAAAGCTTTGTCCGTCCTATTGATTCATGCACCCCTAAGCCCACCACTTCTTCCACTACACCATATCAAAAGCATGAAGCATGCGGTTACTCTTTTCTAGTAAAATGCGCTCACGATGAGATGTCAAAGCCTGCTGAAGTATTTAGGGAACCTAATGTCATAGATAACTTTTTTTAATCGTTTGTTACAAGAGGAGAAAGAAATTTGCAAACTCATAAAAAATGTCAAACCTATGAAACTCACTTCATGCCAAGAAAAGTCATTTCAAATGGCTGAAAATTGTCATATTTGTGAAAAGCCCCTAGATGATGATAGAGTTCGTGATCAGGACCATTTGTCTGGAGAGTACAGAGGTGCTGCTCATAGGGACTGTAATTTACAATACACATAGCTTTTACATTCCCGTGATTTTTCACAACTTGAGGGGTTACGACATGCACCATTTAATGTCCGCCGCGGGCAAGTTTAAAGACAGACAAATTTCCTGTATTCCTACTAATATGGAATAAAAACATTTCCTTTTCAATGGGGAATTTAAGATTTATTGATTCCCTTCAATTTCTGAATGCTTCATTAGATACATTAGTGTCCAATGTAGCAATAGAAGGCAGCCATAAATTTCCAAACACAACAAAACATTTTCCAGATCCTCTTCATCAAACCCTTCTACTTTCGTAAAGGCATATCCCGTATGACTTCCTCACTTCACCCGATTGCTTTCAGCAACCACATCTACCCACAAAAGAGCAATTCTACAACAAATTAAATGATAATAATGTAAGCTCCGCAAATTATGAGCATGCTCAAAAAGTTTGGCAGACATTTAATATGAACAAACTTTGGGGAATACCATGACATATACTTAAAAAAACTGATGTGTTTGCTTTTGGCAGACGTGTTTGAAAACTTCAGATCATTGTGTTTTTAGAGTCCTATCACTTAGACCCGGCACATTACTATACGTCCCTTGGGCTTGCATAGGATGCCATGCTTAAAATGACAGGTGTTCAACCGCAGTTACTGGATGACATTGACATGGTCCTCATGATTGAACAGGGAATTAGGGGTGGGTGTCTATGATTTGTAAAAAATATGCTAAAGCCAAGAATCCTCTAGTCTCCGACTTTGATCCATCAATGCCTGAAACATGGATTTCGTACCTAGATATGAATAAATTTGTATGCAGTCAGTATGTCTGACCCTCTGCCAAAAGAAGATTTTACTTGGTTATCAGAAGAACAAATTCAGTCCCTAAATATATCAAACATAGCTGACAATGCACAGACTGGGTATATTTTGGAGGTGGACTTAGAATATCCTAATGATCTACATGACAAAGATAGTGACCTGCCTGTGGCGCCCGAGACATTAACCGTGACAAATGACATGCTGTCCCCACATTCCCAACTGTTACGTCAGAAGCTAGGGTTAAAAGATAAACCCATTCAAAAAGCTTGTACCTAACTTAAGGTCAAAAACCAAGTATGTGGTCCATTTTAGGGATTTGAAATACTATCTGTCACATGGTCTCAAGCTAACAAAAATACATCGCGTTCTAGCGTTCACTCAGTCTGCTTGGCTCAAACTTTACATTGATTTTAACACACAGAAACGTAAGATGGCCCACAACTGCATTTGATAAAGACTTTTATAAGTTAATGAGTAATGCTGTGTTTGGAAAAAAACAATGGAAAATATGAGGAAAATATTTAATGTAGTGCTAATCAACACTTCAAAACGGCTGAGAAAAGTATGTGTCAAACCAAACTTTCAGTCTTTTTAAAATATTTAATGATGATTTAGTCGCCGTCAACATGAGAAAGACAAACATTGTCTTAAATAGACCCATTTATGCAGGATTTTTGTATTCTGGATCTTTCCAAAATATGTATGTACAAGTTCCATTATGAATTCATGAAGGCTAAGTATGGCAATAAAGTCATCTTCTGTTTACGGATACAGATTCTTAGCATATAACTTACGACTGATGACTGGTACTCTGACATGCGTGAAAACCTTGACCTGTTTGATACAAGCAATTTTCCAAAGACACATCCACTTTACAGTGAGACAAACTGCAATGTCTTGGGGAAAATGAAAGATGAATGTGGCGGCACACCTATTGAATCATTTGTTGGGTTTACGCTCAAAAATGTATTCCCTTATGTATGGGGGAATGCAAAAACAGACAGCTAAGGGGTCAAAAAAGTGTGTTATTGAAAGACAGCTGAAACATGAAGCTTATGAAAATTGCTTATTTCAGCATAGTACAATGCAACATTCCATGAACATGATAAGAAGATACAATCATCAGTTTGTATAGTGTTACAGTTTCAAAAAGCCACTCTCTCTCCTTATGACAATAAAAGGTATTGTCTTGGACTCAGGAATAGACACGCTCGCGCATGGCCATTTTAAAATAAAATCATGAATCATTTCAAACCTTGTTTTGAATGTATATTTAATATGTTTAATTTCTGTATATATTATGTGAATTATATGTCACTGTATGCTAAAACTACTGTTTGTATTCATACGGTAAATCAATAAACATGATAAATTTAACAAAGTTGTTATTTTTTCTTTGACTTTGAACTAGCAGCTAATGAATCCAAAGCTGTGATGAAAATCTGGATATGTATATGGACATGGTTAGATCCTCGTTTGAGTTTACTACTGTTATCACCTGCAAGCGACTGATATTTATAAAAATACTGGTTGTAAAATACAATAAAAAGCCACGCATTATTGGTTTTTATGTACACTTTATTTACATCAAACAATCATCTACGTAAAATAATATAAGCAACTTCAACTCTACATATCAAAAAATTGAACATCCAAGATGCGAATTTATTATTTACACATAAAGTCCGCTAAAGCACTGTCATTTTTTCCATATCTTATCAAGGAAATTATGTATTTGAAAAGGCAATGTTAATTTATTTCATCATCATCGGTGTCACTCATTTCGCCGTCACTGTCATCATCTTCATCATCATCGAGTTCCATGTTTGTAAATATTTCTCCACCGACTTAGTCATTTTGGTATACACATGTCCTCCTCTCAATTTCAGTATATATAGACAAGAGAGTACTAAACTTTTTCATAAATACTTGAATGTCTTCTTCGCGCAGTTTTTGATTTGCTTTCCCCTCAGCCACATCTTCTGAAAGTCCGTGTTTTTTTTTATATTTCTGTACTTTGTCTTGCCATTCTTGAATATTTTTTTTCTTTGTTAACTCCGCAAGTTCGCTATAGATTTCATTTTCTTTATCCGCAACACTGCTATCTTCATCATAATCGTATTTTGCCTTTTTTGCCGGAACAAAATCATCGTCTGAGTGTTCACGCTTCAGTGATTCTTGCTCAGGGACACCAAACGCTTTACATGATTTTGAAGATCGTGCACGTTTCAAACATCACCCACATTCGTCACAAGCTGGCATTTTTACGTTAATTGAAAAGTCCTGCTTTGGTTCTGTAGGAAATTTCTGATTTTCTTCTGTACTATTTTCTTTGTTCTGCTCCGGAAACTTCGTCCAAACAGTTTGAATGTCCCCTTTAAAATGATGGTTTTTATCAGCTGTAGCCTCTTTTATACAAAATATATAAGTGCGCATGCGCATTGCCTCCGGTGTAGTTGGTTTTAAGTCTAGAATTAGATATCCGTATGGCTGGCTTACAGCACTGTCAAAATATCTTATGATTTCTTTAAAATTTGAGGGGTACATCTGCCTTGCCAGAGTTGCAATAGGTTGTTTATCTACCGGGTTATTGAATAATACCAAGTAATGACAATTTCTGCGCTGTGTCGGGTCATTACTAAAATACAAATTTTGGTTCAGTGCAATCACTGACAAGATTCCTATGATGACTGCCTTCTGTAAATAGGTCTGTAAATCGTTGATCTTTTGCAGCTTCTGATGCCATATCATCTAAAACAATTTGGTTTCTGATATTTGTGTCAAGAAAATCATCTTTTTCCAAAATGTAAAGGTACTCCTTGTATCTTCTTTTATGAACTTTCTACTTTTTGGGTTATTACAGTTGTCTTGATTACATCGTAGAGCGGTTGCCATCTTTTTATACAACCCAAATGATTCTTGCGGTGCCGGTTGTAATTTATTAAATGCCTGCTGTAGTAACTGAACCAGGAAGAAAGTTTTACCTGAAAAGAAAAACTATAATCCAGTATTTCCCAATGGTAATATTGTATGTACATATGAATTTGTGTACAAAAAAAAAGAGAAATGAATATTGAAAAATAAATAATTAACAATAGTACACACACTAGATTAGTCCCGACTACAATACATGTAAGGGATTTTGAAACTTGAAATTTTGCTGCTGCTGCTGTTGCTGTTTGTTGTTGTTGCTGTTGCTGCTGCTTGTTTCTGCTGCTGCTTTGTATGTTGTTGCTGCTGCTGCTGCTGCTGCGCTGCTTGCTGCTGCTGCTGCTGCTGCTGCTTGCCTGCTGAGATATCCCTACTATATTCCTGAGGCAGAGGACTTTTAATGTTATATTTGCTGCTGCTGCTGCTGCTGCTGCTTCTTGACAATATCTTCCTTCGGATGCTTAGTTTCATATGTCTTTTCAAGGGTTCCTGTTCCCAGATGTATTTTTCGGCATAATGACACTGGTAAGACATTTTTATGATGTTAACAGGTCCAAGGCTCAGAGTGAAATGACTAAATTGAATTGATACCGCTATATATGTACTTATTTAAATATCCTGTATGTCACTTTTTTTATCCAGGAGTTAAATTTTTTGGGATACCCCAGCCATTTCACTAAACACCTCAGCTACTCCATTTCTCCTTCGTCGCTTCAATACTTTTTTCTACCTTGAAAAGATCATTGCGACTTTCTGCACCTTTTGTAGTTCACTGGAATAAAATGTCCCCTCGATTTTCATCTCTGTCATAGTCCACAAACTTTGTATATAGCAATTCCTTGACGCAAATATCTCCTTTTTATAAAAAAATTTCTTCTGTCCATTTCTGTTCGTAATCACGCTGAAATGTACGCTTGTTGCTAGATATTCTGACAAAGTCACCAACTTTGAATTTGAATGGCTAAGCTTGCTGATGTTTGCTTTTGGTGCTCTTTGGTTTTAAACAATCGACATAAAGCCGCTTCCATATGATGGCTTCATTTTTTCAGTAATTTCATTTGGTGATTCCCGCCCAATGAAGAATGTGACCTTGAGTTGTAATTCTTGACTAAATCTGGTAAAATATCAAGATAATAATACGTGCGATTATGCGTGAAATATCTGTATATCAACACCTTTAAAGTACGTATAATTCTTTCGGCGTAGTTAGCGTGAGTCATATCCCGAGTCACGTAGTGATGGGTTCCTTGTTTATCGAGAAATGCCTTCACCCATCTGTTTTTCTTTTCACTTCCTGGATCCGTTCTGACTTCTTTTGGTTTTCGCCCTGACTGCAGTATTTCTGTAAAGCCATCTAGTATTGAGCCGTGCTGTTTATTCTTCAACTGAACAACCCACAAATGGCGAGAGAAAACATCTATAGCGATGAATAAGTATCTGATTTGATCATTTCCTTTTGCTAAACTAGATATATCTGCCAAGTCAACATCCCAGAGAAAATCTAGGCCTTGAGATATTACTTTTCTAGTCTTGAATTTATAACGCAGAGGTCTCTGTAAACTGTAAGCATCCACATTCTGTAACCACTGTCTAATTGCGTGAATACCAACTTTGTATTTGCCCTCCTTCTTCAAGAACTTGTAGATTTTTTCAGGCCCTGCATAACTTATAGGACTGTGCAGGTCAAAGTAAATGGTTTTCAAGTGATCTTTCCAGCTCATTTTCGTGAAATGACAGATATTAAAAAATGCACTCGCATTATATAAGGGTTAACAAGGCGCGTGTCGCTCCACGCTATATTAAACATAAGCTATTTTTGACTACCGGTATATTTGTCGTCTGCTTCACAAAAAAAATATAACGTCATGTAGTTTATGTGTATGTAAAAGCATCATTTAAAACTGACATGCTCAGACGAGTTACTCTAAAGATGGCACTTATTCTGATAAAAAAATCCCAGTTCTAATTATATATTGAAATTCCATAATATTCGCTTTAAAAACCCAATGTTTAAAAATAGAGTTCATGCCTCACTGATCATACCGCACGTGTGCGGTATTTATATAAGGTATATAGTGCTGCAGAACTGTCATGCATTAGAATTCCATAATACTCGCTTAAAAAAGGAGCTAATTTTAGTAACAAAATATTGAAAGTCCAATTCTAAAAATAATTCAGTAAAAAAGCCAATGTTTAAAAATAGATTTCACGCCTCACTGATCATAACGCACGTGTGCGGTATTTATATCTATCATCACATACACTTGCATAAAAAGAATGTACGAAGTGATGTAAAAATAAACACATAAAATATGCAGGCAGAAATTGATTACATGTTGTTTAGTTGAATCATGTAACCTTGTGGACATTTGAGAAAGCATATCCCAAACCAATATAAATACACATGGCACTCTAAATAATAATCCAATTATTCTTAGCAGTCTGGACATTTTTTATAATTGTGAAATAAAACACGCGTATAAACAGATCATTCGCTGGTAAAGAATAAAAAAAGTGTTTTCAGGATTTAAAATCGGCTATGGTTACTTTAAAATGAATCATGGTCTGTTAAGTAAAGAAAATTATCAAAAAAATATATGAAAAATAATATTAATGAAATTATTGAAATATACACAGGCTCTTTTCCAAATGTGGAAGGGACAATTAGAGACCAAACCATACAATATGCTACCAAACAAAATATGCGTATGGACAATGAACAAACACTTAAAAAGGAAATAGTAAATTTTGTAATTCAGATAACCACAAATAAGAATAATTTTAATAATATTAAATGTATTTCAGCTCCAGGAACGATGGTTAGGAAACTACCCGCCTATATGACTGAAATACTGTTGGAAAAAGGCGTTAAATGAAACAAACAAACAAACAAACAAAGTTTCAGACATAAAACAAGAATTACAGCAAAAAGAAAAGTAAACACTTTTCCAGTCTAGAAAAGTAAAATGCAGAGATACCAAATCAAGATTCTTAAGGCACAAATAGCACAGTTTGCAATATTATACTCGAAACAACACAAAAAATATGACTTATTAAATCAACCTTTCAAACCAATATACGAAGCTGAAGCAAACAACAAAATATGTTTGTAAAACATGTTTGCCCGTTATCGACAGTCAATTAGTCATGTGGTCAGGTTATTATGACTGACGTTTGACCTAGTGACCACAAAATCAATAGGGGTTATCTACTGGTCATGACTAGTCACTAGGTAATTGTGACAGTAAAGGTTGTTTGCAGCAATGTTGTTAATGCCTGCCAATTTGTTATATTACATTAGACCTTGAAATGTGTTTACCAAAACCATTTTTAGTTTAATAAAAATATCAACCAAGGCAACTTGAGTTGTTGAGTTATTGGTTGAAAACCGCTTTTACGTACAAGGACAATGTGACTTTGACTTTTGACCCTAAAAACAATATGGGTTATCTACTGGCCAAGGCAAATGTACCTGTGATTTTGAAGGTAAAGGGTCCATGACTTGTTGAGATATTGATCAAAAAGCGTTTTAACCTATAAGGTCAATGTGATCTTGACCTCTGACCCCTTGACCGCAAATATCAATTGAAGTCATCTTCTGACCAAAAGCAATGCACCTGTGAAGTTTAAAGCTTAAGGGTCCGTGTGTTGTCAAGATTGGTCCGAACTTGTTTTTACCTACAAGATCAATGTGACCTTGACCTTTGACCCCATGACACCAAAATCAATAGGGTTCATTTATTGTCCTAGACCAATGCACCTGTGCTGTTTGAAGGCAAAGGGCCCATGGGTTGTCAATTTATTGATTTAAAACCGTTTTTACCTAGAAGAACAAGATACCTTTTACCTTTGAACCTCTGACCTCAAAAGTCAAAAGGAGTCATCTAATGGCCATGACTAATGCACTTATAGAATTTGAAGGCCAGGGGCCCATGGGTTGTCAAATTATTCAACAAGAACCGGTTTTTTACGTACAACGTCAATATGACATTGTCCTTTGACCTCCTGACTCCAATATATGATAGGGGTCATCTACTTGTCAAGGCCAATGCACTTACAAAGTTGGAGGGCCAACAACAAGATCGGAAACCTTTTTACGTACAAAGTCTATATTACCTTAACCTTTAACCGTTTGATCCAAAACCAATAAGGGTCATTTACTTGCCAAAACCAATCCAACTACAACGTTTGAGGGCCAAAATCCCAATGGTTTTCAAGTTCTTAATCGGAAACCGTTTTTACGTACAAGGTACTTGCCTAGACCAATGTACCTACGAAGTTTGAGTGCCAACAGCCAATGGGTTGTCAAGTTATTTATCGGAGCCCTTTTTACCTACAAGGTCAATGAGACCTTGACCATCAGTCCCTTGACCTCAAAATCAATATGGCTCATCTACTGGTCATGAACAATCTATATCTCAATTTTGAAGTTCCTAGGCATTCTTTAGTTATTGATCGATAACCATTTGGTCTACGGACCGACGGACGGGCTGACAGACAGACAAACAAACAATATACCTCCAATTCTTTGAAGGGTGAGGGGGGCATAATTATGTGCGAAGGACTGTTTAATTAGCATAAATGCCATATGGCCTAAAGCGAAATTAACAAAAACACAAAAAGTTCCGGATCAGGCGGAATAACTAGTAAATTTTATAAACATTTTTGGGATACAGACAAAACTCAAAATGTAAAATCAATAAATCCTTTATAATTAACAAAACACTTAAGTGTCCTACAATTTTTGAAGGTAGATTGGAAAAAAATATCAGATTGTTAATTGAACCTTACAAATTAAAAATGAATCTGGTGCGAAGTAATCAATAATAGATACCTCTCTGAAACTTTTCCGATACAAAGAGGTGAAAGACAAGGAAGCTCATTATCATCTCTGCTCTTCATAATGTTCATTTTAACAAATTACATTAATAATGATAATATATAAAAACATTGTCAATGAAAAAGAAATAAAGAAAAGAAAACGTTTTTTGTGGACGATTAAACATTTTTGAATAATAGTAAACAAACCTCCTTTGAAAAACCCTCGATGTAATGAAACATTTTGAGTATGTATCCGGTCTAAACAATTTTAAGAGTCGGGTCTCTTGTAGACACGAATTCAATATCTTTCAAAGAAAAACTATTTTAATGGAACCTGAATCTGCTAAAATATTAGGCAATACCTTTTAAAAAGACGTTAAACAAACAGCTTAAACTAAACAGTTTCAAAAATTGTTTCAAGCATTGGAAACATAGATAAATGACTTTATTAGGAATAATCACAGTTATAAAAACGTGTGCACTACCAAAACTAATTTATCATTGAACTCATTTGCCAAACCCGTCTGATGATTTTTTGAAGAAAAAAACATACACCATGTATAATTTATAACTTTTTGAAAATTCAATCAAAGCAAGCCGGGCCCAAACATAAAATAGTGCTTTGGAACACACTTTACAATAAAACATTAAAAAGATAGAATTAATTATAAAGATATCAAAACTATTTGTAATCACAATCCTTTTTATAAAGACATTCTCATGACAAATGTAATGCATGTAATTTACTTCAGATAAAAAGACTTTTACTTATTTGAGCATATAAAAGAAATAAATTATTAAGAGAACAATGCATTTCTAAAATTCTACCAAAATCTTCACAAGCATAAATCCCAACATAGAACATTTCTTAAAGATGAATATATCATATCAAAATAGCAGCGGCTGGGCGAATTTCAACCCTACGGCATTCATTTGAACAAACTTGGAAGACATCCATGTTTTATGCCAAATATCTTAGCTCTAGCTCTTTGGTTTTTTATAAGAATATTTTTAAGCTTTTACTTTCGGTTGCCATGACAACTAGAGTTCTGCATTGAATTGAATTTTTTGACCACTATGGTAGAGCTTTATGCAAGGAACATTTCTCCAAAGTTATAACAAATTTGGCCAAGTCGTTGAGGAGGGAAATTTGTATATAGAAATAGTTTACGCACGGCCGGACGCACGGATTGATGACGGACCATAGGCCATCACAAAATAGTACCTTAAGGACATTGTCCGCAGGTTAGCTAAAAAGGATATCACCATTTATGAAAACCACAAAGCAATGTATTATAAGGCAGTCTGAAGGACAGCTAAATCCCCTTCCTCGTTGTTCTTGACCTTTTACAAATCATGACCTTGATCTTGTGTCAGGCTTATCATAAGCACATAGTCTCAATTGGTGATTATTTGTGCCAAGTTATTTAAAATCTTCCATTAAATCAAAAAGTTATGGAGAACATATAACCTTGACCTTGGGTGTAACAACCTGGATGTCGTGCTCTTCAGATTGTGTCATGGTAGGGACAATTTGTGCCAAGTAATTTAAAACCTTTGAATTGTCAATAAGTTATGGAGCTGACATGACATGTTTTTACATTGGACCTTTGAGTGTCACCCTGAACTTCCGGGTTGTGATTTGATTATTGTGCTTTGCCAATGATGCCATAATGGTGATCATTAATGCCAAGTTATCATAAAAAATTGCAACGGTTTAAATGTTATGAACAGACACGAAATGTAGACTTTCTAACATTTGACCTGTAAGTGTAACCTTGACCTTGGGGGTAGCAATTCAATTATTACGCTCTGCACTTTGTCTCATAATGGTGATCACTTGTGCCAAGCTATCTAAAAAAATTATAGGTTTAAAATTAATGGAGGGACACGAAATGTAGACTTTTAAACATTTGACCTTTATGTGTGACCTTGACCTTGGGGGAATAATAATGGTATGTTCTATCTATATAATGGTGATCAATTGTGTCAAGTTATTTTCTCTTCTTTTCAAAAAAATCAGCAGTGAAAAAGTTATGGAGCTTACCTAAAATGTAGACCTTTTTAACATTTGACCTTAAAGTGTGACTTTGACCTTTTGGGTATCAACCAAATTATTGCCCTCTGAACGTCGTCCCTTAATGTTGATTAGTAATTTCAAAAAATTCTCAGCGGTTTAAAAGTTATGGAGCAGATTGGAAATGTAGATATTTTACTATGAAATGAAGGCTTTTTAACATTTGACCTTTAAGTGTGACCTTGACCTTTGGGGTAGCAACACAGTTTTTGCTCTCTGCACATCGTCGCATTATGGTGATCAGTTGTGCCTAGTTATTTTAAACAAATTTCAGCGGTTTAAAAGTTATGGAGAGGACACGAAATGTAGGATTTTTATGATGAAATGAAGACTTTTTAACATTTGACCTTTAAATGTGACCTTAACCTTTTGGGCAGCAACCCTATTATTGTGCTCTGCGCGACGTCTCATTTTGGTGATCAGTTGTGCCAAGTAATTTATAAAAGAATCAGCGGTTTAAAAGTTATGGAGCGGACATGAAAGTATTACGGACAGACAGACAGACGGACTGACAGACGGACGGACTGAAAGAGGGACTGACAGACACAGGCCATTCCTATAATCCCCTTTCCGCTACGCAGAAGGGGATTAAAAACCATAGGACCTTATATTTAAACCACAATAGAATATTTCAAATAGACATCGCAATTTAAAAACCCACATCACCATTTATCAAAACCAAAGCACCTTTTATTCAAACTGCATAACCCTTAAACGACATCAGTATTTATCAAAACAACGACATTACCTAACAAACCCCAGCATCATTTATTGAAACCACAACCATTTATCAAAATGATATCATTATTTATCAAAAGGACATCACCATAGCAATTTTTATCAGAACCACAACATTTCTTTTTAAAGTCACACCATAAACTATCAATAGACATCAGTATATATAAACCGAACGCACCATGAACCAAAATGACATTACCATATATCTTAACTACAAACTATCACAACCACAACACCTTTATCAAAACAACATTACCATATATCAAAACCTTTTCACCATCAGCCGATCAACAACTCCGTCTACCAAAACGACATTACCATTTATCAAAACCACAGCACCATTGATCAAAACGACATCATCATTTATTGAAAATCATAGAACCATTTATCAAAACGACACCACCACGTAAGAAGTGTCTATAGGCGGCAGCTACGCGTGTTGAGTTCACTTTAACCTATAGTGAAAGCTTATCAAGTACTATGTTGTCGTTTATACGACTGATAAAATTTTATCTTAATCATGTATAATTGTCTATACACATGTAGTTCCATAAAAATCCCTAATGTAATCACATTACTCTGATGAGTATTAGCATTTTAAGATTTGAAAATAATAGAGAAAACCCTTCTTTTTAGAGGGACAATATCTTAATCAAACATCTTAATTATGGACAGTAGTTTTAAAAAAGACGAAAAAAGGTATTTACGTCTAATAGTATATAGACTAAGTGATTTTGACTTCAGGACATAATTTCATTAACTTTTTTAATGGACCACAAGGCAATGCCACATGCCGTCTAAGCACTTTACGGTGAATTACGTATGCATCAGACGGAAAGCAATTACATAACATTCATGGCGGCCCTCCCAATGGTTGTTCCTGTTTGGTTAAAATCAAGTAGGAGATGTTGCATTAAGACAAGGGTATAACAAGATACGACTAACAACATCTGATAAAAACATTGCCATTACTGAAATTCTTATTTCAGCACCACTTTGTTCTCAGGTGAGCTAAAATGCAAAATAAAATATATATAGTTATACATGTACTAAAATTACATTTTATAAGAACAAAACAAACAAAAATCTCTGTGATTTCATTGATAAAATAAAAAGAAAATTTCAATAAAGTCACATACAAAAAAAACTTACATATCTTCATATCTGTGTTAATCAGATTCTGCAGAGTTTTGTCCCATAAATTGACAGACAATTTCCATTGCTATCTTTGGTGCATTTGTATGTGAATGTATATGTTTTAATATTTGATCAATCCTGAAAATAAAAGAAAAAAGTGTATGATAAGTATTTCAACAGATACACAGCCGGAAATATTTAATGGCATTATTTATAATTTAGATGGTATTTTAAATATTCATTATTACTATTTTAAATTTGATAATAAGTCAAATGCATTTCAATTAATTAAAACTATTTTGTTGCATACTGTTACAGTGTTTTCGAACAATAATTTAATTAATCATGTGCATCCTGGTATCAGGAAAACCGATTGTTATCAGTTCGGCTTGTTAAACTTCTTAACAGTTAAATGTTTCAAGTATTGATATTTGGTGTATGCGGCTTCTTTCTCGTTTGGTTTTTACGGTTTTATTTCGAATTTTTAAGTCTTTATTCGGGTAACTCTTTTGTTTTGTGAAGTGACGCCTTTTATTTTGTGTTTTAACGCATTTTTTCTTGCGTTATTACGTCTTTTACCTCATGTTCTAACGTCTTTTGTTTCACTTTGTAATTTCTTTATTCACATTATTATACTTTCTTTTTGGTTTACAATTTTTGGCCTTTTGACTCATCTTCCTATATTTAATTTCATTTGCATTGATACCAGTATCCCTTCAAGTAATGTGTTGAGATTTACATTTTCATAATATTTCTCAAATTATGCAGTATCTTTTTGTCGTGCTAAGATAACGAAAGAAATGTCTGATGTGTTTTAAATATCCCTTTCTTTGCTTTTTACATAAATGAATTGACTGGTTACTGTACCACTTCCTTAAAGTGAAAGATTGCGTAAAGATCATCGAAACATATCATAGTTATACATCACTTAAACAACTGCTTTTGAATTTTAATTAAATCTTCTTTGCTTTAATTGATTGCCAGTTTTGCAGCTCTTAATTTGGTATGTCTCCTGAATCGTTTGGTTACTTTTATTTGAGATCATGTTTGCGACCAAGGCAGTCTTAGATAGGACACAAATGTCACACTCGGTAGTATATATGTATATATCATGTTATCATATTACTTTTGACAAATACTCGGCAAATTAATTAACTTTTATGATAAATAATTTGACTTTAATGTAATTGATACATATGTATTCTTTTTAGGCCCCAAAATGGCGACATATTAAAATCGCACCGTCTGTCTCTCTGTGCGGCCCGCTTATATTTGTGTCCGGACTGTAACTTATATTTTAAAATAATTTTGCCAAAATGTATTTCGTATCATATCATGCTAATGTGCCGTGTCTTAGTCCCAAACCCTACCTCAAATGTCAAAGTCACGCTTACTGTTTAAAGATTACGACTCTTACAATTATAGTTAAAAGGTACACATTTGTGTCTGGACTGTAATTTTGTCATGCATTGAATGACTTAAAATAACTTGGCACAAATGTCTACCACATCAAGACGATGTGTCGAGTCTAAGGTCCATGTCCAATACCACGTTCGTCATTCATTGAAGGATTTTAAAAAATGCATATATGTCTACAACATTAAGACGACTTGTCGCGTCCTAGACCCATGTCTCTTCCTCCAAGGTCAAGGTTATACAGTATTCTTGGTTTCTCGGCTATCTTAGAATATGAGAAAATATACTATTGAAAAACGCTTTTATAGTAACCATGCCTTAGTACAAGTCAATGTTATAGTTCCTCTACTTGGTCCTGCTTTTGGGGCATTTTTGTCTGTTACCAACGACAGCTTCGCACCGTCGGTCTATCTGTGCGTCCCCACTTACACAACATTCTTAGTCGGACCTTATTAGGAAATGAAGGACTTTAAAATTACTTTGCACAAACATCTACAACATCATGATGATATGTCACATCTATAGCCCCATCTTAATGTTCAAGGTCACACTTACAGATTTAAAGTTCACATTGTCACAACAACAGTGTAAAAGTACATACATTCGTGTCCAGAATGTAACTCGTGACATGCTTTGAAGAAAACAAAATACCCTGAAAATATTACATAAGTTTTTTTACTTAAGACTATGGTGTGGAAAAATAACTTTGAAATATGATTATACATATCAGCAACGCTTCCGTGACTCAGCCCTAAATCAGTCCATAATCAAATGCATCCATATGGGGCACAGAACAGACAGGGCTGGAAACTGAATGAAGGAGGGACAATTTTTAACCACAATTGAGCTTGATTTTAATTGTAAGTGAAAGATTTTATAGGGGAAGGAGCCGGTTAAAACCGGGTAATACTCCCCGATTAGGTTTTAGACCGAAAATTACTTCTGTAGTTTCAGTGTTATGTTCCTGACAAAGTTCAAAGTGAAGAAGTTCCAAAATTAAGCAAGACAGATTTAATGTTCTTTGCGTTGCACTTCTATTCAATGAGATCTATCTACCATTTAAGTTTCGTGTTGATACATCTTGTAGTTAAACAGTTCACAGTGTTCAAATTGATAATAGGCAAGTCGAAGTAACGATTCTTTGGCAGTGCGTTTCTATTTAATACGATCTATCTACCTACACAGTTTTATGTTAATATCTCTTATAGTATCAGAGTAATGTCCTGGACAAGTACAAACTGTCAAAATGAACAGATGGCAAATAAGGCAAGGCAGACATATGGTTCTTTTACACTGCACATCTACCCAATTAGATCAATCTACCTACAAAGTGTCTTGTTCATATCTCTTATACTAATAGAGCTATGTCCTGGACAATGTTCAAAGTATAACAAATATACAAAGGACAATAACTCCACATCTCAGGAAGGCAGAGATAAGGTTCTTTTGCACTGTACAGTAGAATCCCTACTTAAGACCAACTCAGATTTAAGACCACCCCGCTTTTAAAACCATTTGTTAACAGAACATAATTTTCTGTTCTTTATGTCAATAGTTACGACCACCCCTATTCTCCATTTTTAAGACCACCAGATTCGGTCCCAATTCTTTTATTTATTCTTTATTTGAACTCACAATTATGACCACTGATGTTTTAGTCAACACCTACCAAGATCACATATGTGTTGTAATTATCTGGTTGAATGCTTCTTAGGTATGACACTTGATTTAACAAGGTATCAAAAACTGTTATTATAAGGTTCTTCAATAAAGTAAGGTGTGAAAGTATATATTAGTGTTACTGTGGTTCATTATTGTTTTTAGCATATTTATTTTTCGGAGAATTAATTTCTTATATGTTAGGTGAAATATGTACATTACATAATAATTAATATTGAAATTAGATAAAAAATTAATATTAAATTTCTTCACTCTCATCTGATTAAATATTATAACATATATTGTATTTGTAGATAAAGATACATATTGTTTGTTAATACAAAATTACATAAATAGATCATGTTATCATATGTCTTGTTAGCGCAGTAGGTAGAGCAACCGTGTTGACTCAGTAATGTGTTTTACCCGTACAGGCAGAAGTTCGACTACTGGTAAAACACATTTTTTTTTACCTCAGAGCAGTCAATTGTTCAAAAAAAAATTCGTATACATAGTTTATTACATTAATATGAGATCGAATATTTTATTACTCTGCGATCAAAAAATACAAAAAGAAAATAGAATAGAAATAAAAAAATATATACTATAAAATATATATTATAAGAAGAAATCAAAAAGGAAAACGAAAAATAAATAAATAATAATAATAATAAAAAACAGATAAAGAAGAAAAAACTGTGGTTATAAAATGGCACTACGTTGGGTTCGAACCTATGAGTTCAAAATATTAAAAGTTACAATGTCTTCGATCTACCGGCAGAGCCATAACGGTAATATACAATTGATACTGTAAGAATAATGCTATATAGTATATGTAAGAGTTTACTTTTACGATATCGGATAATAATCCAGATAACCCCGTTTTTGGACTTTTCCATGTACCGTTAAGACCAAATTATCATCCTAGGACAGTATCTACCTACAAAGTTTCTTGTTGATATCTTTTATGGTTAAAGCTTCACGGTGCACTAAGCCTGGGGTTCAGTGAATGTAATCATCTCGTAAAAAAATAAATTTGTATGAAAACATCCGTTATAATGCTGAAATATACCGTTAAATTAGGACTGCTACTTATATGTCATGTTTGTTTATTCAAGATTGATGTACGGATGGTCAGAAGGCGGAGTTTCTCATGCAAACAGAAATTGTACATCCCATTTCGCCACAATGAGGTTACCCATTTTTATGCTAATAAAACTCATTCTGATTGCCTGGACACTAAAGTAAGACATGGAGTCGATATAAAACACAATTTATTTATGACATGTCGCTATTTATCTTTTTATGAAATTATTAAATGTAGCTTTAAAAGCAATCTCATAGTAAAGCATTATTTTAACTATCCAGTTAATTTTACACAATTATATCTAAATGTAGACGCGATATAAGCATTTTTAAGGGGTATAGATTGATACCGAAAATAAGCTAAGAAATAAAGACGTTATTATATATATATAATGTAGATGTTGATAATGAGGTAACCCATTTTTATGCTAATAAAACTCATTTTGGTTGCCTGGACACTAAAATAAGACATGGAGTCGATATATAACACAATTTATTTATGAAATGTCGCTATTTATTTTTTTTATGAAATTATTAAATGTACCTTTAAAAGCAATCTCATAGTAACGCATTATTTTTAACTATCCAGTTAATTTTACACAATTATATCTAAATGTAGACGCGATATAAGCATTCTTTAAGGGGTATAGATGGATACCGAAAATAAGCTAAGAAATAAAGACGTTATTATATATACGTATATAATGTAGATGTTGATAATGAATGTTTATTTGAATTTGAAATAAATCCATGAAGAAATAAGAAAATTAAAGAATGAATAAGAAAAATTAAAGATTAAGGAGGAGATATTTCTGGAAATATGGGTTCTAGATTTATAAACCTTGTCATATTATTATGATGTGGGAGTTTGAAGTAAATTCTATAAGGAATGGAGAAGTTGGAGTAAAAATGCCAATCTCTCGAAAACAAATCTAAAAAAAGTTCAAGTGGAAATAGTCTTGCTAGAGTAATGAACC